GCGGGCTATCGGCTGCTGGGTCGCGCTTCACTCGAGTGGCGTCGCTACAAACTATTGTAGCTCACACGTACCGTTTTAAAGTGCTCCCCTGGGCCCTCCTAGATTCTTTGCCCGTGCCTTCGGTGAATTCTACACGAAGCACACTCTGAATGAGAATAATGACGATAAAAGATAGAGCGCAACATCTTTGATCACAAGCTGCAATTGCAGACTGCTGAGCGCTAAAAACTTCCGATGACGTAATCACGCGCCCCCGTCAATTCAAGATTTACCTGCTTTAAGACACACAAATGGTTGGTTGTTTTTTTTCTCCTCGACACTCCTCGGATCTACTTGGCACCTGTCTTAGATCTACCGGTAGATCAGGATGAACGAAATGGGCACCCCTGGTCTAGAGTGTGGTATATGAATCCCAAACACTCCCATGAACAAAGTTCAATGAGAAATATTGTTCATTCATTTATTAACTACCATATTTTCACGACTATAAGGCGCCATGAAAAGTCTTAAATTTTCTCCAAAATAGACAGGACGCCTTATAATGCGGAGAGTCAAGTGTATGTGCCGAGTTCCAAAGCCTGACTGAGAGCGGTTCTGGCCGACACGCTGTTTATATAGAGAAAAGGTGGACGTGAGTGACGACAGGCATAAGGAAGTGCGCCAATGAGTGAAGGGTAGGCATGTAAGAGGATGCTAAAGGCACGCCCCTAGCAGGTACCAGTCGCCAATGAGTGAAGGGTTGGCGTGTAAGAGGACGCTAAAGGCATGCCCCTAGCAGGTACCAGTCGCATGAGTACATTGTAAAATGGCTAAATAAAGTACAACCGAACTCAGTTTTGCTTCCGTTGCCTTTTTAAAAACGTGTTTTTAGCGTGTGTCCGTATGTCTTAGCTGCTAATGTATGCTTTAAGCTAACATACGTGGTATGTTTTAGCGTGCATGCATGCTACCGTATGCTTCAAGCTAACGTGTTTTTAGCCTGTGTGCATGCATGCCTTATGTTTAAGCTGGCGTACGTTTTACCATGCCTGGCTGCGCCCAATAATACCGTGCGTTTTGTGTATGTGTCAAATACAGAAATAGCACCCGTTACTGAGACTGCGCCCAACAATACGGTGCGCCAAATGGTCATGAAAATACGGTAGTTAGGATGAAGACTCAAAAATATTTCTGACATTGCAATGTTATTGTGTTGCAGACACCCAGTGTTGGGATCTTAACTGAACCTTCTGGTGACCAAGAAGGGAGCGAGGGATCCACTTCATCCATACTACAGGTCATTACATTTTATCAGTATATACCAGGTTTGAGTTTACAGTTTTCTGTGACAAAGCAGAAGTTAGAAGTCAGGAACATGGACAATCTATGATTTCAGTCGACAGGTCCTCATATTTCTCCTGACCTGAAAAACGTGGGTGTGTTTCAGGTGACATGATTTTTGTCTGAACCTAACTCTGTCGAGCTGATGTTCTCATGTCCCCATATTGCTGGTTCAAAAAACTTAACTGTGTTAAGTTTCTCTCGTGTTGTGTCGGGATCCCAAATTCTCCTGTTAATGATGTTCAATTAGAAATACTGTTTGTTAATTTATTACTAGTCAGGATCAATAATGGTGAATATTTTTGACACTGTAACATTGTTATGTTGCAGACACCCAGTGTTGGGTTCTTAACTGAACCTTCTAGAGACCAAGAAGGGAGGAAGAGATCCACTTCATCCATACAACAGGTAATTACATTTTATCAGTATATACCAGGTTTGACTTTACAGCTTTCTTTGGAAATCATTGGACAAGTTAGAAGTCAGGAACATGGACAATCCATTATTTCAGTCGTCAGGTCCTCATATTTCTCTAGACCTGAAAAACGTGGGTGTGTTTCAGGTGACATGATTTTTGTCTGAACCTAACTCTGTCGAGCTGATGTTTTCATGTCCCCATATTGCTGTGACTGATTGTCAAGGATTTGTAAACCGAGTGTCTGGGTTTCAAAACTAGCCTTACTCTATGACTAAAAATTAATCTCACAGGGGCTTTTTCATCTTATCTTGTGACATTTGATGGGGATTTATATCGTTTCCGGAACACGAACAAAACAATGTATTTTTTAAAGTAGAAAACAAGTCATTATTTAACCTTTCTTTTAATTTCGAAACACCAACATTGAAATAAATGTTGATATTCCATATTGTTGTCTGGAACGTAGAAGGAAAAGTCTAAAAACAGGTTGATATTCATTTTTTCACAAAAACAGAATTTGGCACAAGAAACAAATGGAAATAAGGGTTTGTTTTTCGATTCCTGTAAATTGTCACCGACAGCTTTCCTCCCATTGTCCAGGAGAGGGCAACTACGTAACGCCTGAAGACGATATCGTGACCTGTTCTGTCATGATCCATTTCTATCCTGAATTCCACAAACGAGCCACAGGTGTCTAAAATTGTTGTTCCCCTCTCAAACAGAAATAATGAAACAAACAAACAAAAACAAGAAAAGTCGTCCAAAAAAATGAATCAAAATCAAAAATTGCTGTTGAATTTTGGTTGAAAAAATAATCATACCTCTCCCAATACTACTACTGTACTAGTAATAATAACAAATATTCTCAGCATTCCCGTTGGGTGACAAAATAAACTTGGGTCGCAAATGCTCCACCACCAAAATAAAACAAAAAAACACTTTTTTTTTGTTTTTGCTCACAATATGTGATCACTAATTTATAAATGCAACGACCTATGTATGTGTAACATCAGAGATGGATTCACAGAAATACAATCACAGGAGCTGACCAAGGTTGTGTTGACAGCAGTTTATTCCCTGTATGCTGACAGCAAAATGGGGATGAGGGTCATCTATGTGAGCAAATGGCATTCTTTCGGTTGAAAGGTGGTACAGCGTAAACATGAGCCATTTCCACGGGGAACTCAAAAAAATTTTAACAAAACATGTCAAACATTCATTCGACTAATTGAGAGCAGCGAATTAACTCAACTCACACCAAACAACGACTTGAGGCTCGCTACATCCATCCTTCCATTTTCCGATATGCTTATCCTCACAACGGCCGTGGGGGGTAGGGGGGGGGGCTGCTGGAGCCAATCCCAGCCGTCTTCGGGCAGTAGGCGGGGTACACCCTGAACTGGGTGACAGCCAACCTCAGGACACAGAGACGAACAACCATCCGTGCTCACACTCGCAGCTAGGGACAATTTTAGAGTGTTCAATCAGCCTGTCATGCATGTTTTTGGAATGTGATTCAAGTGATCAACTCATCAGCAAGCTCCGTCGAGGCCTAAATAATTGAATCAGGTGTGTTGGAGTCGGGAGGGACCTAAAACAGGCAAGATGTGGCTCTCGAGGAACCGGATCGGCTGGACACAAAGTTAAAAGCATCCAGCAGACACTTTGAGTCGGAAAGATGCAAATCCACGAAGCTTTAAAAAACAAGGCATCGATTCAACTCCTGATGACAAGCCACCATCCAGCGAGGAAGCAATGCAAATGGCAACAAATCCATCAGTATGCACAAGAATTACCAGACATCGGTGATCAACGGGACAGTTACTTGCAACTAGCAAGAAAACTGTATGACCAGGTTCATAAAGGACATGTACCATGCTCATTTCCCAAATGAGGAATTTCTGTTATCAGGACAAATTGGACAGCGCAAACACGAGTCCGCACTAGAGAATATTTACTGTATATATGTATTTTTTTTTTTTAAATCAGGTCAAATTTTTGTCATTGATGTATCGTTAACATTGACTTTTTTTTTTTTTTAATCTCAACTTCAGAACACTTCTTGGTGCTATTCTGAGAGTTTTCATACTCCCTGGGTGAACTCAGGATTGTCTGACTGCTAAGAAATTATTTCACATCATTTTGAATCCAAACCGCTGACATGGCATCTGTTCACGTCTTGGACGCGGACAAGCATGCGCATGAGCAGTTTAGTAGGCGGACGTTAGCACAAGAAGCTAACTGCGAACAGACGCTACGCAGCTGGAACCCACCACCAGAGACCAACCAGCCGAACGCCAGCGAGCGTGAGAAAGCCGGTAGGCAGCTAGCCAGCGAGCGTGAGGGAGCCGGCAAACCCACTTGCCACGTCTGCAACACCCAGCAGCAAGCCCACTGGACACGTCACCAACTAGCATACAACCGGCTAGCAATGAGACCCGACAAAATGCCACCCAAACAGAAGCAAGACCCAAACCAGGACGAGGACTTCCTGACCCTCACTCAAGTAAACGAATTACTCCAGCAACAAAAAGAGCTTTTTACGGCGCTCTTGCAACAACAACAGGAAAATTTCAAAGGATTCGTCAAGATGATAATAGACTCAACAAACTCACGGCTTGACACTTTCACCAGGGAAGTCCAAGAAATAAAAAACAGCATCAACTTTACCCAAAAAGAGGTTGACAAATTTAAAAAAAAATCTAATCTGTCAAAGTGGCCATTCCAAAGACATGCAAACAGAAATCTACAAAATATGTGACAGCTTGCTCGTATTAACAGACAAGATGGACTACTTGGAGGGACAGTCAAGAAGAAACAACTTGTTAATTGATGGAACTGAGGAAACACCGGGATAAACGTGGACTGAAACAGAGGAAAATTTTCAAAAAATCCTCAAGGAGAAGCTGTTGATACAGGGGCAAATTGAGGTGGAGAGAGCTCACCGCACAGGAAGACAAGAACCTGGGAGACCTCGACCGAGGCCAGTTGTGGTGAAATTTCAAAAATACAAGGACAGAACAAGGATCCTACAAAAAGCAAAATACTTAAAAGGCTCCAACATCTACATCAACGAAGACTTTACAGACGCTGTACGACAAAAAAGAAAAGAGCTCCTCCCAAAATTAAAAGCTGCACGTGACAGAGGGCAAACTGTCAACTTAAGACATGACAAACTTATCATCCACCCCCGCACCAGTTCTCCAACACAACAGGCTCGAGTTCAACACCATCAAGCGGCATACTGAGAACTGTTCACCACCCGACGACAAAAACTCTAACCCTACTGAATCAGGAAATTCACATAGCAAAAAACATGGACTTCCAACCGTTTGACGACCCTTCCAACCCTTTGATGACTTCCAACCCGACTGACCATGACTCATTTGACACTGAGAACAACTTGGACCCGGATAACAACTCCTTCAAGACCGACCGACCGCGAGGGAGCCAGCGACGACCGACCGTGAGGGAGCCAGTCACGACCGCGAGGAAGCCAGCGACGACCGCAGGGGAGCCAGCGACCGCAAGGGAGCCGGGAGACAACCAGCCAGCGACCGCGAGGGAGCCAGCGATGACCACAAGGGAGCCAGCGATGACCACAAGGGAGCCAGCGACGACCGCGAGGGTACCGGGAGACACCCAGCCAGCCAGCGAGCCTGAGGGAGCCGGGAGACAACCAAACAGCAAGGGTGAGAGAGCCGGGAGGCAGCCAGCCAGCGAGCGTGAGGGAGTCGGTGACGACCTCAAGGGAGCCAGCGACCACGAGGGAGCCGGGAGACGTCCAGCCAGCAACTGCGAGGGAGCCAGCGACGACAGCAAGGGAGCCAGTGACAACAGTGAGGGAGCCAGCGACAACAGCGAGGGAGCCAGCAACGACAGCGAGGGAGCCAGAGACGACCGAGAGGAAGCCAGCAACGACTGCAAGGGAGCCAGCGACCGCAAGGGAGCCGGGAGACAACCAGCCAGCGACCGCGAGGGAGCCAGCGACGACCACAAGGGAGCCAGCGACGATCGCGAGGGAACCGGGAGACACCCAGCCAGCCAGCGAGCCTGAGGGAGCCGGGAGACAACCAGCCAGCGAGTGTGAGTGAGCCGGGAGGCAGCCAGCCAGCATGCATGAGGGAGTCGGCGATGACCGCAAGGGAGCCAGCGACCACGAGGGAGCCGGGAGACGTCCAGCCAGCAACTGCGAGGGAGCCAGCGACGACAGCAAGGGAGCCAGTGACAACAGTGAGGCAGCCAGCGACAACAGCCACGTCAACCAGCCAGCGAGCGTGAGGGAGTCTGCGACGACCGCAAGGGAGCCAGCGACCACGAGGGACCCGGGAGACGTCCAGCCAGCAACCGCGAGGGAGCCAGCGACAACAGCGAGGGAGCCAGCGACGACAGCGAGGGAGCCAGCGACGACAGCGAGGGAGCCAGCGATGACTGCGAGGGAGCCAGCAACGACAGCGAGGGAGCCAGCAACGACCGCCTGGGAGCAGCATATTCACATACATAAAACATGGGCTTCCAACCCTTTGAAGATACTGACCATAAGCCATTTGACCCCGAGAACAATTTGGACCTGGACAATAACTTCTTCAAGAACAAACAAAGAGTAACAAACTCTGACTATTACCTGGATGAACAATTCAACACTAACATAAAATTGGAAAATGCACTTTCAGTAATACACTTAAACAGTAGAAGTGTCGATAAAAACTTCACAAAAATCAAAGAATACCTGACTAAATTCAATAAATTTAAAATAATTGCCATATCAGAAAATTGGCTTGACCATGATAAAACAAGTGAAATGGAAATAGAAGGATATGAAATGTTTGCAACTAATAGGGAAAACAAAAAAGGAGGGGGGGTTGCAAAATATGTAGAAAAAGCACTCAAATGCAGTAAAATCGAGAGATTGACAAGCACAATAGAAAACCTAATGGAATGTCTAACTATTGAAATACACAATAAAAAGGCATCAAATATCATCATAAGTTATATCTGTAGGACACCAGGATCATGTATTGACACATTCAATAAAAAAACTAACAGATATG